TAGACCAATACACATTGCTTAAGGCCAATTGAAGGATAAACAGAAGTCCTAGCCAGCTCTGTACATAATGATACTAGGAAATAGGGTCAGGCTCAGTCAAAATGGAGACAATCGCTCTTCTTTCAAGGAGAGCTGCTCAGGTGGTCCTCCACAGAGACACAGGGCTCCCCAGCCAATACCACCGCCAGGTGGATGGGGGAGTTAGCGTGGCATCACCCACTACATCCCTGACAGCCCATGTGAAGCCTTTGAGATATTGCAGGGAGACCGAGGCAATGGATTTTAATTTTTGAATTAACATCTCCTTAATGGTGCTGTAGTTACAGTCCTAAACCTCAGGCCTCCACTCAGTTGGTGTTGGTGTGGGGTCTGCTTGTGACAGTCAGTATTTTGTCTCTTTGTATCTTTTGGCCTATGATACTAAATGCTGGTATTCACAGTATGCAGCATTGAGATGTTCTTGGATGGGACTGGTTAATGTGCATACCGTGATGGCCTTCCATGCTTTTATTCTTCCGCTGGATCACCATCCTCCTACTTCTCATTGGTTGTTGAGTCTCATTGTCTTTCAAATTTTTCAGATACATTTCTTTTTTCTTTTCTTTTCTTTTTTTCTTTTAAAAAGAAAGAAAATAATGAAAACAATTGTCTTAGTTACTCTTCTCTTGTGGCTGGGACAAATACCCAACACTCAAAATGAGGGAAAGAATGTTTTATTTAGCTCACAGTTACTGGAGCTTTCAAGACACTGGAAAAGAGGCTGGGGTGCTGCCATGTCCAGGATGGCCCTCTCCACATCTCTCAGTGAGTCTGCTGCCTGGGGAGGTGGGCAGTGAGGGCTGTCAGTTTATTGGTCCGCACCTCTCTGGCCCCGCCTCTCAAGCTCCACCCTGGTCCTTTGGCCTGTCCTTCATCCTCCTCCAGCTGGGTGAGCCCCAGGACCTACATGAGGTTTTGGGGGGACAACTAGGTACAAACCATAACAACAATAATACAGAATTTCTCTTCACATTCTGTAGGGATTTGAAGTTCGACATATCAATACTTGATGGAAAATACCTGTTCCATGCTGTGTCTAACATGTTTGATATTCAGACAGATAATGAGGTTAAGCTCACCTGCCTATGTTCTAAGGTAATAATATCATTAAGCTTGTCTTCTGGAGAGTTAACAACTTAAGTTTGCAGACCAAAAATTAGAGAAAAAGAAGGGCTGTGAAGACACCTAACATTTTGGCCCTAGTCTTTCAAGGTCATTGAGGACTCAGGACATAGGCGAGCCTGTACTGTAACATCCTGTAACTCAGTGATGTCCCAAATTTTCAGATCAAGGAGATTATGGGGCCACAGAGGAAAGTGATTGATGATGTAGAGTGTGCCTAAGGAGAGTCACATGGAGGGAAAACATTCTCTCAGGCTTTCACAGAAAGCAAATTGGTCAAGCAATGACGTGACTCATCCACATGGCTGACACTGACAAAAGATCTACAAACTGCGGTACAGGATTTCAGGGTAAATTCTGAGGTTGTTTGACTGACCTTGTCAAATACGAAAGCTACATTTCTCATTATATAGGTCTTGCTTTATCTTGGTCTTAACCATCCAGCAGAAAAGTATAAAAATGAGGTATAAAAAGTAAAGCCATATTAATATGCTGAGCTGTAAAAGGTCAAGTCAACAACTTCTGGCATTGCCGGTGTTATGGATAACCCACTACTATTATGGACTATTGGACTATATTGGATTATTTTGCTAAATTCACCCACCTACAATATTTAAATGGCAATGGAATACCCATCTCAGACAAAACTAAACAAAAAAAGGGGATATAAATGAAGGACCATTTTGTATCTGTCTATACAAAATATTTAGGAAAGATACATAGCTACTTTCTCTTAATGAGAAGAAAGATTTGTACTAATAGTGTTTGGACAAGATATCATGTCTGCATCTTGTACTATGATTAACCACTATGAAGACAAAAATATACAATGTATTAATTATTGAAACTGTCCTATTAATTAGTTTTGAAACTGTCTCACTGATTAGTTTTGAAATTGTCTCATTGCTATTTGTTTCTCAATAAAATTAATTAACAACAATAATACAGAATTTCAAAACAAAATAATCAGAAATTAACAATGGTCATGATGTTTCATATTGTTATCTTTAAAGTAGTTGCTCAGATTATAAAAGTCAAGATTCATCAAACATTATAAGGACAAACTTCTCCCTTCCATAAACTAAAAGAAATCATTATTATAGCTAGTTTAACTGTATGTGTATGTGTGTGTGTGTGTGTGTTTGTATGTCTGTGTATATTTTTTTTCCTTTTCCTTCTTTCTTTTG